AGTGATCTTAGGTGGATCTTCAAGGTTAAGTCCGAATTCTAAGCGGTATTCCTCGATGATAGGTCCTTATAGCTATTTTGCAAACTTGAGGTCCTCAGCTTTCACCATTCAGTTATATGCTTTTAAGGACCCCCCAAGATTTTCAAATATTAATTCAAGTTGATGTTACATGTATTTTCATCACAGCGTAGTGGAATAAGTTGTCGTTATCCTAAGCATCGGTTGCCGTTAGCAACCTCTTCAAGGATTTCTACGATCGGATACATGGCACTCAATTTTTCAACACCGATGCTTCGCTGTCGTACCAGAGCTACAGTGATCAACCTCTGCTTGTGAGACTCCTTCACAGAAGTTGTCAGACGAACCGAGCACGGGCGACTATCAGAGGCATCCATTCAAGTAATAATCCTATCGTCCTGTGTCTTAGGACGATAATAACGCCTGCACATCCTGCCGCAGCAGCCGCTGGATCGCCAGAGGTGCGCATCCGGATGGAAGTGGAGAGTGATGACCGGTTAGGTCAACCACTGTGCCTGCATCTAGGATTCATTTTTCTGCTACACAGCATACATCAATGCCAAGCGAGTCTCTGAGAGCAAGAGCAGCTTGTTGACCTCCTTGCTTCAGAGTGCGGACAATAAAGGCGGCCAGATGGACTTGGCACTGAGGCTTGATTGTTTTCGAGATGCTTGAGGATGTCAGTGCCGGATGACGCGTAGATGTTGGTTGCAAAGCCGATTCATGACGAACGGAGTCATCAGTCCTAAGTGCTGGGCCTACAAGGAGAGAGTTATCAATGGGGTGGGGAGAGGGAAGAAAGTATGTGAAAAAGGAAGAAGAGGGTGTCAACTGTGATTTTGTCCTGGAGTTGAAGTGAATCTAATTTGCTTGTGTTCAAACTGAAACGATGATCGTCCTGTGGAGATTTCAGCAACGCGCTTGGTCTTTTTGTCTTCAGTGGTTTCGTACTTAGACGCGTCGATCGTTTCTCCAGTGTTTCAATTGTTGACCCAGTCAAAAAGTGTAATGAATTCTACCGGATACTTTCGTGCCTGACTGCTCTAAGTGTCCATTATCAGTCAATCGATTTCCACCACACTTTTTATACCAGATGATCACGCGACATAGGACTGCTGCAGTCTACATGTTTCGCTCGCATACCACTTGCATTTTGTTTACCGCCAGTGGTCAACTCATCAACAGATTCCATTTTTCACTGTGCATTAGGTGGATCCTGGGATTATGTACGCTGCAGAGAATACAAAAGGTGCCAACAGCACCATAAAAACCACATCAACTTCATAGTAATTTATGAAAAGGGGTAAGGTTGATAAAGTGACCTATCATCCCCCCGCTCCATAGCTGCACGCTATTCGGCTATTAAGACCTGCCTCAATGGCCACCCACCCCATGAGTTACACCACTGATGTAAAATATCTTTTGTAGCGACAATCTACTGTCGTGCTCTAAATGGGTTAAGCAAAAAACGTCTTTGGTGTCTGCGCTCAGTATGAAGTAGTTAAATGATTATGGCGAGGATACATACGTATTCCTCACGCTGAATATATACTCTTTGCAAGTGTTTGAAATCCCATTAAACATGTCAAGAATCTCGAATATTTTGATATCCAAAACTCGGGAGGAGTGCATCCGCAACTGTATTGAAATCAGATAAGTTGCATAATCAACGCTGCTCATTTGGTCCCCGCAACATTTAGGGTTCTCTCTCCCCTGCATTCGCTATTTGCAGCCGCTTTGAAGTCGTATACCAACGTACCGCTTTTTAGCCCGTATGGGCGACTCAGAAAACAGTGCCTATCTGCTCCTGTCAGCTGATTGAGACAACCAACGTACCGCTTTTTAGCCCGTGTGGGCGACTCAGAAAACAGTGTATTTTTCTCAAGCCTATCTGCTCCTGTCAGCTGATTGAGACCAACACCATCGTGATGCAACATGTTACCTCTTGCTACTCGCGGTGCGGCAGTAGATTCCACCAGGTCTGTTCGACAACGACCGGTCCTGTTTACCCACCCATCGGACTTTTTGAGGTATTGGATAGAACATGACTGAGATGCGGAGACTATGGGGCCGGCATTACGACAAGATGATAGAGCACACACTTTCGAGGGTGTGAAACGTTCGTGCAAGTTCCTATGGCATGCGTCCATCAAGCACAATTGTCGGGCTTCGCTTCGGGCACCGCGCATACGCGTGCTTATTGCCAGTGGGATAAATCTGCTCGGGCCATAGTGCGTCGTTCGGCTTGTACACCGACGCAAAGGAAAAACTGACACACGAGGCTTGCTTCTTACCCAGTTGGTCGACTCATTGCGCGACTCATGGCTTGTACACCGACGGAAAGGAAAAACTGACACACGAGGCTTGTTTCTCACCCAGTTGGTCGACTCATTGCGCGACTCAAGCGCTGTTCCAAGTGAACCCATTTGACGTGGGGGATTGGTGCATGAATTCAGTCAGCCTCAATCAAGTGAAGTGGATGGCGTGATCACACGACTTTGTGCACCGCAAGACGGAACTGCCGTTCAATAAATTGAGAGTAAATCTGTGTGAAATCGTTTACCATAATAAAGGAACTATGAAGAATTCAGTCTTGTCTCCCAAGATGGTTTGCATTTCTGAAACGTTGTCCGCCTCATCCAGTAGTGTGTTACATAGTGCTTCGTCTGAAGATAGGATAACTACATCCTGGTTGGCACCAATCCCACTTAGGTTTTCGAACTCTTCGTATTCGTCTCCTGTGGAGAACCTCCTGATTTGTTCGCACTGCGACAGTCAAATTTTGGTTTGAATGACTCACTGCATAGAATGACCGTCTGCATCAATACGAGCCATGTACAAGTTCAATAGTCGTGCGCAAGCGGTAAATGAAGAACATGTCAACCACGCATTAGTTTCGTAAAAAAACGTCTGACAATGAGAAAAATCGGCACAAAAGTGAGGACCTTTGTTACAGTATAGGCGGTACGAATGGTTGACCGTTTGTGGCTGTATTTTAACCTCCCGTAAATTTAATTGAGTACTTTGGACTAGGTTTTTAACGCCAACGACACCCACGAGCTGCACTTGAAGAGCAATAAAAAAGTTTTTACTTCTGGAAGACTGCCGATCGTGGAAAGGATGTCCTACGTTCCACGAAGGAAGTTTATGAGCATGGCAGAAACCAATGATGGTCACCAGTTTTCTATCCAGCTTAGAAATTCAAAGATCTATCACCGTCATATGTTCCTATTCGACTTCCTGTTATCATTTACAGATGTACCAAAACAATAAACTGAATTCTTGAATTTATTGCGTACAAGATGTCGGTAATCCCTCACTATCCTGGATATGGAAAATCTATTAATACTTTTCACACGCAATGTTCAACCCAGTAATGAGATCTGTCGGTCGACAGGTACTTTTGCTATGGTGCCTCCTTTGGTCCACCCGTGATAGGTCTGCTCGAGCAAACCTAGAACTAGGCAGTTAGACACTAGACAACCTATGCTGTGCGAATTTTACACAGACCATTCATTTGGGCTTTCCAATGATACGTCAGTTAAGCGACGTGTTGAACAGTTGCACTTTCGTCCTGACTCCTGAATCTGAGCAAAACGGATAGCCAAACGTTCCCGAATTTGGCTTTCTGAAGGACAGTGTGACAGGGCGGTGCCAGTGTACAGCGTAAAGATGACGGTGGCGAAGTTTCATTGCAACAAATCCAGAACTAAATAAGGTGTTTGGTTGCAACGTAAATAAAGTTTTCTCTCATCTGGCTACATATAGAAGGAAGCAAAATTCTGGCACACCTATCTACGCAAAACGGTTGTCCGGAAAATCTCACGTCCAAAACTATGCGAGGTCGAGGATGAAAAAATTCCACCAATGAGAGGTGTGATACGGTGCTTGAAATAGTATGAAGAAAGTTGCAACATTCTATTGATACTGACGTATGAGGTTATCAGCCTATTTAGGTTTCAGTTACAGCCAAAATTCGGGTTCCTCCTGAAAGAAAAACATCTGTGTGTACTCATTCGTATCATGTTTTGGTCGTGCGATTGTGCGAGAATACAATTCAATGTCCCTGAAGGGCGACTAGGGGAAACTCAGGGACGAAACCAATCATATCATAGAGAACTGCAAGCCTTCCAAGTTCCGCAATCGAGCAAGAATGATACGATTCACACTACTATCTAATTTCTAGTATATAAGTCTTGGTGTATCTAAGTAGCAGATACCGTTGATTAGCCTACCAAAACAGTCGTTTTGTTCAAACGGAGTAGCTAAGCCCGGCGAACGAGCCTGCAGTGATGAAGCACATAAGGGCTTCATATATTCCGTGATTTCTGAAAGGGGCCGACAAATCTGTTTTACCTATGCTGCGCTGCAAAATGGAAGTCTGAATGTGGCACAACACTTGAAGGGCCTGGAAAACAATTGTGAATGCGGCCAGCCCCCATATCGTCGTGAACCAAGGTGACTTTTACCTTAGTAGAGATGTGATATGGCTGCGTTAAAAAAGCCTCCCAAAAATGAATACCTCACCCTCATCCTCTGCTGTGAGCTTTCCGGAACCTGTGGCAATCAGCTTCGTCTTATAGAAAATTGTATGAAGTTTCTGTCACTTTTATTGATCTTTTCAAGCCTGGCCGAAACACACTCGGTTCAGAAAGATTCGGACGAAACTGGAGTCCAAGTGAAGTTATCTTCAAAGCGATATAATCCGCCGCTGATTTTTAGTCAAGTTTGGCACATAATCTGCAAAAGTGTGGATGTCGTTGGTGGATGCACGGAAATCAGTTGTCCGATAGATCAACAACCAATAAACACTTCGATCCACTAATAACCAAAAGGCGAACGTGGAACAAAGTTATGTGGAATCGATTCAGCCAATCACAGTGCACTCTGAACAGGTCAGACAAGCGCGGAATAGCTGATTAATGCACATACCTGAATGACCAAAATTGACACATGATACTTGACGGGATTATCAAACTTACTGAAGTATCTGACATTGTTTTTGTATAGCGGGAACTCTGAAAAAAAGAGCGAGGAGAGCAGCACTGAGTCGGGTTTACCTATAGTTACTGTAACAAGTGTAATATAGAAAGACGAATTAGCATTTTAATCATGTGGCCTCTTTTACCAGGCTCTGGTAAACTAGGAGTTTTGTTGATGCTGTCATCTTTTTCCAGACTCCACCAAAAGGAACTCATCGGTAGTGGACCTATTTGGCATGTATTCTCTTCTGGGAAGGAGACTATGCCTGTGAAATGTTTCCCACTGTACTAAACAAATGTTTCTGAAGACTGACCTCTTCTGACAAAAGTTTTTTTCTCGGGAGGAGAGGTCAAAGTAAGTTCCCAAGTACACAGGTATTGTTCGCACCAGCTAGGATGAGATCAGACGAATGGTGGGTGGGGAGAAGGAGAGAAGACCGTACGCACTTGCTGACGCAATCATTCGAGTCTCACAAAACATTTCTCGTCCTTTCCTGGCACAAAAACCGTACTCACAAGATAACTACCTCATTTACTACATCTACTATACTGGAAACTCCGATGGGTGTAACGGAGGATACTACTGATGAGGCGTGTGAGTAGTCTATGGTTTTCTCGAAACTCCGCCCTGCGTCAAATGGAAGGTGAAGTTTATTACAGAAGTTGTGGAACTGCTTCGCAGCGTTCGCTTACATTTGCGTGATAGTCAATGAATATCCATGAGAGTTCACGAAGAAGTGTGAGAATGTTCAATTCTTTAAAACTGTGTCCAGTAGCCGCTTAGTTGGTGTTTGCTAATAATCGAATTCGCGGGGAAGCACTTCCCTCCTTACACGGGTAGTCCCTGTTCCCAGCGAAGATCTATAGGTTACAGCCTATTGATGGACAGTAAATGTTTTTTATATGAGACGGGTGAGTTCTTTCAATAAATAGAAAATGAAAGCTTAGTAATCTTTACTTGTGTTCTATCCGTTTCAGAGCGGGATAATCGAAAGTGCTCGATGTTGTCATATTTTAAATGACATGGGTGCCAGACAGTTTGGTCTCTGGCGCCCCAGTAGTGCGTTTGTGTACTGAGTGCAAGAGACCTCGTTTTTTGCATGCTATATAGCTTGTTTTCAATCCGACAACATAGTACGTGAAATAACTTATGGCATTCCAAGCAAGCATACGAATTAGCTTATTTGCCGAGCTTAACAATACTGCTGCTACAAACACCTAGCATCTGAACAATGAAGAAAGAGCTACTCATCTCGGCAAAACTCAACAATGCAACCAAACTTTGCTAGTCCATCTGCCCAGCAATACAATAATAACCAATTAGGTATGAAAGACAAGTCACTGAAAGTCTGACCCGACAATCCGTAATGTAGATTGTGAAGTTTACAGCTTCCAACTGAAATCAGTTTCTTGGATTCGATATGATATCCTCTGCTATTATCCAGTTATTCTATGAAATCGCGTTCTTAATGAAAGTGATCAGATTTTTATAAAGGTTGCTGAAAACTCTTCGACAGCCCACGACCGGTTTCGCCTTTCTTGGGGCTCATCAGGTAGGCGTAGTCCCCGAGTTTCCGTCAATTTTATGTTCCACTTGAACCCCAATTGGACTGTTTTCGAGAAATACACTCATTTGCAAATCACTTGGGTTTTCACGAGAGATTCAACTGAATCTCTTGTGTATGATATGTGAGTAGTTTCATTTATTAAAATATACTGCGATATCTTGAATATTTTGCCAAATGAATCATGAGGCGGTCTGTGTGCAGCAAATTCAGTTGTGGAATATCATAAACGAGAGATTTAAGTTGAGTCTTCGTGAAAACAAAATTGATTTGTAAATGAGTGTATTTCTCGAAAAGTGATCAAATTGTTACATTTGAATCACAAACCAGTCAGCCTACTAGTACGGTTCTACCCACATAGACAAACCTGTGAAGCATGCGTCCTGTCAATTAAACCTGCTCAAAAGCAGAGAAGCACTGTGCAACTGCTTCATTCTTGTTGAGAATCATCAGTAGTAGGCACCCAAGAGAGATTGCAGTGCACAACCTTCCGGTCAGTGTTTAAACACAACCGTTTGGCTGCTAGGGGCTGGCCAGTATTGTGGTGATTTATCACTCGGACAGGATAAAGCGCAGTTCATCGCTGAACTACGGAAACTATGTCACGTGGCCACGTATTGATTGACTGAATGGATGATGACTTTTCAGAAGGAAGTTTCACTCATCTTATGAAATTACTCTCTCTCTCTCTCTCTCTCTCTCTGAGGAAGAATCATGACTCAAGAAGACATTCAATAGGTGGTCACTTGCTGTGGTTACTGTGACTGAACGATGAATGGTGGCCCAAGAGCACCGGTTACTTTTCTGCAATCAGAACCGTCCATGGATCTGCTGCAGTCAACTCGTCGGTCAGATGCGAACATTGCTGCACTAGACACACATGATATGTCCTCACTTTTTTTAGTGTGTGCGGAGGTTTGAGAATTTTTTAATGGGATTTTCTACTATAAGTGAAGCCAGTCTGTGCTGAAAAGCTAAGAAGCACTGCGCAGTGGAACCATCAGCAGTATGCGTTTAACGGAACTCGGCGACCTCCCGTCCAGTAATGTGAACAATTAATCGTTTGGTCACGAGCAGCTGCTTATCGCAGTCTACATTCCTGTTTGTCAGGCAGTCTGTGATTCTCTATTCTGTCCGAGTCGTTTGATTCTACGAGATATTTTCCATCCTCTGTTATCAGGACACCTTCAGTTGCCTTTTGAAATACGATGCCCGGGGAACGAGGGACTCCTCACCGAAGCTGAGTGAAGATGGCTTGATCAGAAGGTACGATAATGACAACCCCATTGTCAAGTGGACTGAAAATGAAACTTCTGTAAGTAAAAATTTGACCGAGTCATCTATAGGCAGATATTTCGGGAGATAACAAATAACAAGTGGAATTGAAAAGCACATTATTACAAATGTTATACAAATAATTACTGGTGAAACCTACCTCGGTTACTTCCGTCCACGCGTCATAGTCTACGGTCTAGAAGAAAATTGTTACGAAAAGCCAATGAGTTATTCCAGTAAGGGCGCGCGCCAAGCAAGATACATGTTTAGCAAACGTATACTAACTTATTTTTAGCATTTTTCCAGACGTAGACCACACGCAGAGCTTCTGCGGTTGCAAAACTAGGCAGATGAATATGCGCTACTGTTCCAGTAACCGACTCGCTGATACTCTTTTAAATGAAGAAACCAGAGTAATATGAGAAAAGCGATTCAGAAAACTACGGATGCATGTTAGAGGTTCCCCACTACCCCCCCCCTTCCCCCGAAAAAGACGCTTTGGGGCCAAAATGAGTTCTTTTTATAGTGTCAAGAAGGTAGTTCTATTCAACCTCCAGCAAGGAGTGACGCCCTGACGAGCAGAAAGCTCTAACAATGGCGGATTGACCGCTGAGAGGGATTTCTCGCACCTGGCAGAGTTGTACTACGCCAAATGGTCTGACTAAACCTTTATTGCAGTAGACCTTAAAGAAACGCATCATATCTGTTGAACAAGTGCGGCTGGATAATGTTGAGTAAACTAACATAATTCAAGTGTAATTCCGTGTGGATGTTTGTATCTGTCTGTCGAAAGGCCAGCTTCTCAAAATAATCGAACATAACGTCCATTGGACGGACGTGTCGCGAACCGACTACGAGTCAAACTATGGCACGTCGTGATTGGACAGACGGTGAGCCAATCAAGGTCGTGCAGTCCTAGATCGGCGCTTCTGATATCATCATGAAGATCCTACCGTGACCTTGGGACCACCCGATAAATACTACTGTAGCAGTCGTCTTCCTTCCGTCTCACGATGCCGTGCAGTGTGATATGTTACGCCGGGGGATATGGCAAGCCACAGCAGCGTCCTTCCCGGTGATCCTAGCAGCATTTTTAAGCTTCTGGATGGTGAAGCCAAACCAGATGAGGTTCTATTCTCATCTAGCAAAAACTATATTTTAAAAGGGTACTCCCACTCGTTTGGGGTTGGCACTTATCCTACTCTGTTAAGCTGAAACCATCCACCAGTTTCAATGTATACCACAACAGTCTCCTTTTCATTAGTTGTCATTGGTCGTGCAACTTATATAGGCTGAAAAATATTTTCTGACCAAAACAAAAGTCTTGGTGGCTGAATTCGGTGCATGCCATCACTATAGGAAAATGCTGTATGAAATGTATCGACATTTGGAGTACCAAACGAAATTAAAATGGTCAAACGTCTCAGGAGGTTTAGCATACCAAATGGAAAGATGAAACAGATAGGATAACTTTTGCAGATATGTCTAATAGAAGTTTGTAACTAAGAGGAATGGGACTGTGACATATTAACCCTCAGTTATGTTATTCCCCATATCGACCACGCATCAGCCGGACCGATTGGGGGAATCATGAATTGTTCTCTGGAACATAGTTCTTCGGTCGAAACTTCATCTTTCTTCTACCCGAAAGTGGGAAACTGTGTTCTGATAACTTGTGAGATAGCTAGTTTTACACATGTACTCCAAGTTTTTCTCAGTCGGCAGAAGGGTGTGGCTTGTGCGGAGTTACAACGTACACCTCCTAGCTGGGCTCTGAATGAAAGAGGCCGAAAGTCGCCATGTTAGCCTAAGGATACTTTGATCTACCAACATATGACTGTAGCTTACTCACAATGGTCTGGTCCATGCCTGGTCAACCTGGTCTTGCGTCCGTCCTCAAGGGGTGTTCGTATCTCACGAAATGCACTGATTGGTAGACTAACTCGGTCATAACGGCTGAGTTTTCAACAACATTCTTATTTTGGTCGCCTGACACGACGGTTTGTTCACATGTCCGAGTGGTCCTCTAAGGTGAGTCATCGATAATTAGCCCGTGAAAACAAGTGCGACAATTCTGGTTGGTCTGAGGGCAGGCGCACGCAGTCCCACAGCCTAATGTGAGATACCAAACATTTAGGTCCCCCTTTTGGGAACCCTGATGTTCCTCAGGCTTTAGCTCACCCATCCTCATCAGATGAGTTTCGATCCTAAACTTAGTAACTACCTGGTGAATTTCGTGTAGATAGAAATAAATATTGTTAAGGTAATCAAGCGAGTCTACTGTGCTGGAGCGAGATAGTTCTGTGGTTAGAGCGCAAATTTACTGACCGGAAGGTCCGTGTGCCTCTTGATTTCCCTTGTCCAGGCTTGGGCAACCTGGCAGTATCCTAGCCCTCGTGCTTCCTTCTGGTGGCATGTCAGTTAGGCACCAAAATAATGCTACAGCTGAGCGACTTCTCCCCCACTGTACTTCACTCCGTTGAACTGACTGAAAGAGGCCTTGGTTGTCAGTTCTTTTCATGCAATGTCACTTGTAAGGAAAAATCACTAAAGATTGGCTGAAGGCTGATTAGTATTAGTCAGTAAATTCATCATTTGATGAAAATTCCCGTATTGTTGGAACACTATGATGCAACTGGACAGCGAATTGAGTATTCGTCGGTTAGGAAATCTATAGCTGTCAATAATCGTATGATAATCGTTTAAGAGGATCTTAAAATGACAGGAAAGATTAAAACGAGGAGCGAAGATTGATAGAAGAGTCAGGAATAGATCAGATCATTCGGGAATAAGCTTGTAATAAGTTCACCCTGGCAAACTCTACAGAAGCGAAGAAAATGCACACAGGACCTAAATGTGATCAAATCATCTGCGCAAACTCACTTCATGATCTATGGACTGTGCAGTGCGCACCGAAGCTGCAACAAATCTTGGATGAAGTCGTACAATCATTTGGTTTTTAATGCGAGGGTTGATTTCGGATAAAGAAACTGAGCCTTCACTGCAGAGTCGCTCCCTTTGGCCGTTGGTACACCCATAAAGTTGACATTCTATTACTGTCCGGGGAAGCTGAACTGGAGGGTAATCGGAAAATATTTGATATTTAGAGTTTTGCGGGTTCATGGGAATATTCAAACGAGAAACCTTCAGGTGTACGAAGTACCGAAACGTTGAAACAACGGTTTGATCTGGGAAAATTTTCCTCATCGTGGCACTCAAAGTCAGTTAAGTGCTGTACAAGAATGCGAAGGAGGGCTTCTGAACTAAAATAGTTTAACCAGCTGATGGTTGAAAGCCAGCCTAAGATTTGCATTCCCGAGATGCGAGTCTATTTCATCCATTCATCCGTAGTGATCTCGATCGATGTTGAATCGCTGAACAAAAAGATAAATAGCCCAACTATCTAGACAATATGAGAATCACTTGCGTTCCGTTTCATCTTCTTAGTAAGTACACGCCTGCTACGGACAGTTTTCTAAGAACAGAACGATCCAACTATTAGCATTGTGGTCACTGTTCCCCACAAAATTGAACACAACTACACCACTCGTGTTCTTCACCGTTACTGCCCTCCCGATGAATGAGACTCAGTGGTTTTTTTATCAGTTGGCGACGTATACAATCGGAAATCAAATCCAGCTCTTACAAGAACAGTATTTTGGCCAACTAGCCTAAAATCACCAAGAGATGGGAAATGGCCTCGACAAACCTGAGGCCGTCTTACACTGCCGCTTGAAAATTACCCAACTTTTTCACATTACCATCAATTTATAAGTAGTTCAGAAGAAGAAGAATTTCATAGGTCGGGTAAAACTTGTGGAAAGCCATCGCTCGAGCAGCCAGTCAATACATGATCATGTGATATGATTTCCATGATTGAACAATGAGCCACTCTTTATGGTGAGTGACAGCTAATCACACTGCTGATCAGCCTCTTGTGGTCAGATGGCTAAGTATTCAATCACTAGCCGGAAGGTCATGGGTTTGTGAGTTGTGCACGTCTGACGATTCCCAATAAGGATTACGCGGCCATACAGTGCTTTTCGGCTTTTCAGCATAGGTTAGCTTCATTTACAGGACTAAATCCCAGTTGGACATCCTCAAATGTTCTCACACTACAAAGGACTTTCAGGATCCGGTCATTTTGTTTCAAATCTCTATAAATAGCTATGCCGTTTATAACGGCAATATGGGATTTTGACTGAGTTGTCTTTGTTCCTATTTTAACAGCTACCAGCTCAGCTTTGAGATTATGGATGCTTGTAACCTTGCATGTCAGTACGTCTCACAAATGAACGAATGCAGAAACGCCTACATTTCCTCGGTCTGGATTCATTGGCTGGGCGGTGTTTTGGAAACTGTTGGGAATGTTGACACGGCTCCCAAATGACTAGACTTCTAAAACGCAGTATTCCCTCATTAGAAGAAGCTCACAAAGAACAAAAGAATTTGATTTTCTCAAGGGCGGCTGATGGAAAAGAAACTTGAGCTTACCAAAGATGTTTTTTGTGAATTTCGACGGCTTCGTTTTCACCACTAATCTAAATTACTCATTGCAGTAATTACGTGATGTCTGATTTACCTGGGATGTCCTACTCTTTACATTTCTTTCCCATCCTTCAGCGTCCTTAAAAATCAGTTGAGTCTCAATTCATTTAACTGGTGGATAAACCATACAGTCTGTATAAATCACAAGTGTCTCACGAGAATCTGATTGGCATTATTTCATCTGCTTAGGTTCACATCCTTGTGGAACTACTCCAAAATCTATAGGCACACGTCTAGGATAGTTCTTCCCGATGAAGAACAATCACCTTTAAAGTGTTGTCCGGCCTTTCAGCACTGATCGTCCTTACCTGCAGGACGGAAATATCCATTCGGAATCTCCCAATATGTGCATAACGTCAGCAAAAGTATGGGGGAACAGAAAGAAAGTCATAATCCTCTGAGCTCAAGTATACGATGCTGAAGTAACGTTGCCTTAATCTTGGTATACGGAGTATCATTGCTCAAATTCTTCCTGACTGTCTACGTCTTCTCATCCGATAATGGGATTCGTTGATTGCTCAGACACACAAACTCCTTGCTGTTCTAAAAGGATGGTGTTTTTCAAATTTTCTTCGTTGTGCGTCGTTACCGGATTTTACCACTTTCGTCCCTGTCCTGTTCCAACACAGTTGTTCATCCTGAGCAGTTCACATCAAAGTGATGAATTAGTGGATTCGAGTTTCATCAGCTTCGATACTCATCAGTGGTGTACCGCCGTGGAGGTGCATTCAATTCCATCCATCTGATAAGCGAAGACAGCACGTTACAACCATTCTATCGATCCTCGCTGGATTCACGTGAATAGATGAACTTTTACACACCTAAGCTAATTACCGAAAATGGCTGCGGATAGAATGTCCATAGAAGTGTAATCCATCTGCGATGACCGAATCTGAGTCAGAAGAGAGATGTTGCGAACGGAATTATTACTCTTTCAAGAGAGATCCCACAAGTTTTCTCAGAAGAACCCGCAAACTTCCATGAGCTGTGACCTTCTGACTTGAAGTTGCGGGGATCGATAAAGCTACTAAAATATTCCGCTTCTTGTGAGTTCGTAAAGAGCGTGAGGATTTTTAACGCAAAGGCAGCTGGTAACAATGAGTAATACAAACAACTCACTTTTTGCGAGTTTCACCTCCCAGTTGTCATCAAATGCCGGATTTGGTCCACTTCGCATTTTTGATGTAAGCCATACTGGGTCATCATTCAAAACGTTCACCAGCATCTGTTGGAATAAGAGCCATCTTCGAATTACTAAGATGATCCTGATGAGTAATTCGCGAGAAGCACCTGAACTAGATAACAAATATTTTCTTGAAGAGCGGAAATCTCGACCCAAAATTTAGTTGCATTTCAAACAAAAGATTACTTCCAAAAACGAAGACGGATAGATCACACAAGCTGACAAGTCGACCCCAGTGAAAACGACTGATTCAAACTTTTTGTTTGAAGAATTAAATCTCTGTCATCTTTTACCATTCTATAATTTTCAGTCTTTGCTCGTGATCACCATCAGAACAGTCTCTTTAAGGGAAGTGTAAAGTGGACATATTGGAGCAGTGTCAAGCATGATTCCTAGGCATAAAGTGGCCTGTAACGCAAAAGATGTACCATTCCGACCAGGCAATTACTATAACTGTTTCCATCCAGTATCATGAAAAAAGGATGGCTCATTCAACAAGAGAAGAATTTTGCTCAGTAACAACAGAAGCATGAGAAGAACTTTAGTCCTTTTGCGACTGAAGTGGTCAAACGGGACTGAACATCCGAAAAAGAACTCTTCACTGGGGAAATGTGAAATGCCCCATATGAATCAGTTCAGTTTATCAGCTAAAAACATGCATCAAGGATACACTGACTCCAGGGGAGATATGGCCAAGTGTTGGAGAAGATGGAATGACGGGTTAATTAGCATTGTATGCTGTTCTGACGAAATGGGAAAGTGGGCATTCATGCAATAAAAGCGATAGGTTTGATGCCTGAGGGCCACGGACTGCCAGTGTCATTAGCCATTGGTCACTTGAGTTCCGATATCCCCATCCTTTTCGAAACCCGAATACTAGGATAGTGCAAGACTGCCCAAGCCTAGCCAACCGAAGTCAAGATGCAGAGGTCGAGTTTGAACCACGGACCTTCTGATCAGTAAATTCGCGCTCTAACCAGTGAGCCATCTCGTCCATGCGAGGAGGTCAAAGTTGTCAACTTGAATGACTTTAATGGTTGGCATTTTCGTATTTCGATTGCAGGTCGTAAACTGTCTACCTCTTGATCGTTTCCACTCAGCACAGGGCTTGGCAAAAAGAGCTCTGAGGGGCAGGCGGTCCCCTGGCATACGGAGTACATGCCCTAACCAGGGTGATCCATGAAATGTGAGTCGCTCATCCATCACACAAGGGTTCTTTTCCCCTAAGACTACCCGGCTTGCCTCCGCATTTCTAATCAGATCAACCCAACAATGCCTCAGAAGTCTTTGTACGGACTGTTTTCGTGTCTCCTGCGAGCGTAGAGTCCAAAATTTTGATTCATTAAGCAGTATGTAAAGCACTGCTTTTGACAGAAAAACTGACATTAAGCATGACCTTCACAATTCACGAATTATTCTCGTCTCCAGCCAGTCCGAAGCAACTTACTCAAGTGCCCAGGTAAACGAACTTTTCGACTGGCTGATCTGCAGACGTAAAGCCCGGGTTTGGTATTCTTCGATTTAAGGCGTGTGGAATCAACATCACAACCTGAAAACAGCTCTGATGTGCTTGGTCTTGTGTGTAATTCAGGGTCACTGGTTTTATTCAAATACACACTGTCAATCGATTAAAATAGACCGCGAGTGGTCGAAACAAGTTGTAGTATCAGTGTACCAGACTCAAATGGTGTAATGCATTTGCACACAAGACACTGTCGACAATAGCGAGGAAAATTCAGGCGAGAAAGTTGTAAAATTGCTAGTATTGGTACCCAGTGACACTAGGGTCGACATTATGCTCACACCTCGATTTCGACCAAGACTAACGATGCAGTCGTTCTAATCATGATCAAAGTTGAAGAAATAATAAAAGTTCCAGGTGGAACGCTGGTTACAACTGAGATCTGCTTCCGCAACAGAACTTGAAGTCAAGACACGAGAAAAACGTGAAAACTAGTGGGACAACACAAAGTAGATGTTTTTATATGAATACAGAAAGTGAGTCTCTCGTAAGCACTCTGTCACGAGAATGATTCATATAAAACTTTAAACAATGAAGTTCCAGACGGGTATAAATCGAATGAACTAAACTCTTTGGCCCTAAACAGTTAATGCATTGGGTTACCGGGACATGAGGCTGACAAATCCATTAAAGGTCTAAACTGAACAAACGGTACGTGCAATCTGACATAAGGTTTACCTGTCTCTTCCATCACATAAAAAAGCTTTTTCTTAAATCCGATCTTTATTGTGACCCTAAAAATATCGTTGGAGGAATGCTGTCTCTGTTTGGTTGTTCAGAAAAGCCATTGATAAGGAAGAATTACGAAACAGTTGCTCCAAGTAAACAATCACGAGATTCTGATGTGGGCTTTTTCACACAGATCTTGGTATCCGCCAACACTTTCAGTAGATAAAGCCTTGAGGCACCATCTCTTCGTTTTGTTTCAGCAACGCATTCATTCCTACACTTTTGGTTTTGGTGTGGTAAAACCCAGTTATTACCAGACAATCACTTTCATTCTGCTCTGCTTCACTCAGTGCCAGCTATCTCGTTTTACCTGTGTTACCGGTAAAAATGCGGTCGGATTGGTGTGACAGGTTACAGGTTACGAGAACTGGCCTCAAGTTTAAATACTCATTAAAGCCAGATTTAAATATATTTTGTATACAAAAGTTCCCTTATCCAACAACCCTTCTTGTAACAACTGTCTCTCGAATGTGACTGTGTGGTCGCTACTCAACAAAACTACCTGTTTAGTATCGATCGGTAAGTGAAGTTTGAACAAACTAGGTTAGCGTTGGGGAATATAGCTAGACTCCGACAGTGCTGTTCGGTTTTCACTGTCCTACAAATTCTTTGGCCGCCAGTTCCCAAAAAAGACTTATGAACCTGGAAACATCACAAACGAGAGGCATAGCTGGGTTCCAGATGAGTCTCTTGCAAAATGAGTGCATCTCACTAATTTTGTGCAATTTGGTTTCAAGTAGAACATAAGGTTGATGCAAACTCGGTGACTGCGCCTACCTGATGAGCTCCAAGTAGGGTGAAACAGGTCGGGGGCTGTCGAACAATTTTCGGCAACCTTACGAGTAGTGCATTACTTATGTACATGTATCGCGATATCTCGAATATCGTAGCGACTGAAACATGAGGCGGCCTGGTGCAGCACATTCAGTTGCCTGGAAACATCACAAACAAGAGATCCACCTTGGTTCCAGGTGAGTCTCTCACAACACCAAATTTGTTTGCAAATGAATGTAATTCGCTGACTTTTAAGCCTCTTAACTGACAGTATGACAAGTAATGCTTTGATCAGTTTTCACTCGTCTGTAAGCATTCCTGTTTCTGTCTCGTAGGAAAGAAAGGGTGAAACAGAGCAGAAAACCTCTCAAAAACATCAAAGTATATCCCATTATACTTAGTGTAATAACGCATATGCAAACCCAGGTTTTCAGCTTCTCAAAAGCTCTTTAACGGAAATGACCTCAAATAGAACAACATTTTCCTCAGAGGTCACAAAGTCTCCATCGCCTGAACCAATCTCTCTTGCTCTTGATTAGCCGTGTCATCTGAACAGCTGAAAACAACCAGATTAAGAACAACAGGACTAAAGTGAGTATCACTCTTCTCAAAATCAGTCAGGTTCTTGAGCTGCAAACCTATGTATTTGTAATTACACTTAATGGCAAAACTGTTGCATAGAGTGTCTGCATTTTTGTCAGCAGGATGACTGGAAAGAAGTTGTTACAACCCAAACTGCCTGATAGGCGCGCGCACCGCCTTGACCTCTACCCGGCACTTCCGTGGTTCCCCCCAGTTCTATGTGCAAGGTGGCTTGTTGTTGTACGTACGATATCCCCATTATCAAACGGGCGGCGAAAGCCGGAACGTGCGATATGCTACTGGCCGACTGGAGATTATGAAACAAAGCACAGAGAGAGGGAAGACAGTGAATAACAAAATCACTCATCCGTATATTAGGCCGATTTGTCGATTGTCTGACCCGAAAATGAATTACACAAGTCTGTTTTCGTTTACCCACTCATAATGTGGCACACCAAAATTTCTTCAAGACGCTGTAACTTATAGACAGGAATGGTAGAAGTGCGTCGTCGGATATCCAGAAGTTTGCTCCCTACTGGAAACGTCACTGTTCGTAGCGAACGGGCATTTGCATTTTATGACGTTGAAAGTAAAATTAATCTCTTCTTGGAAGCAGTAGGACAGAAATTGCCAAAATTTCCTGATCATTTCTTGGGATTCGGCATTTCTTCCGTCAATCTCATGGTGGAGTTTGCAGGACTGCGACAGAAATTGTTGATGGACAGAGGAAGAGAGGGAATCATAACTTGGTCTTAGGCTCTCGAAGAGTTTTCAGCAACCTTACGAGTAGTGTTTTACATCTTGTAATTTATTAGGAATATGTCAAATATCGTATCAGCTGAAGCATGAGGAGGCCCTTGAGCTGCACATTCAATTAAAGAAAAACATCGTACAGGGGAGGCTGAGCTGCCAGGATTCAAGTGGGTCTCCCGTGAAAATCAAATTCTTTTGCAAATGAGTGAGGTTGCGCGAGAACAAACGATACTATTCTTTTTTCGATGAATTGTGTCATATTCTCTCATAAGGTATCTACTTTCCCATCATCTGTGCTGTTTGTATCAGCAATTCGCTCATGTTCATTCTTTATTTGTAGAAGATAGGTGGGGAACCAGGTGATAAATGATTCAGCAAACCAAGCCTCTAATTTCAAAACATGCTGAAAACAAGGATTGTATTTTGATAGTGGCTTCGATAGCTTTTTGTCCAATGTATGTTTACAGATGAACAGTGAAGCTTAGTCGGAGGTTTTCCGAAGCGCTTCTTTCACTTGTCAAAAGTGACGCTGATAAGAGATGACATATCCTAGGTCAACTATTCTTATCTCGCCTAGACCGAAACCAACCATTCAAACGGTTACAAATCCAGGAGCTGAGTCACCATTGGAGATCGGTAAGGTGGCTCACAGACTTCACAGTGGTGACTAGTGTGTTGAGCTTAACTCTGATTTATTGGTTCACTTAGTTGAGCATGAAAGTGGTATTCAAGAGGGAGCGTACCAATTTTATGAGTCGTACAAATGGACTAAAACCTGTGGATTAGGGATCGCGGTAATTTGATTTTACTTTTCAGGGTCACTGGTGTAAGGTGAGGAAGGCATCATTTATTCGATTCAGAAGTAGAATTTGACTGAATCAAAACCCACCGACGGGAAGATTGACGGCGCCATTTCCTCGTCTGACTCTTCTTCATCAGCTTCGTCCAACTTGACGATATCCTCATCTTCCTCCAAGTAGATATCGTCGTAGCTTAAGTATTCTAAATTGTTTGTTTGATTGTCCTGTAATAACACCGGCTTTTCGTCTTCCTCAGATTCGTGGTTATTGCCATCCCGCTGTTGGCTCTTTCGTTCGTCCCTCTCAGCAACCTCACCTTCACTTGCTAAAGTGACAGAAGTAGGATTGAGGCGAGGAAAGGTTGAATGTGAAATCACTATCTGTTAACAACCAGGCTTTACTCATGCGTTTATGCTAAACAGTACAAATGTGAACTACAATCACAGAATAGCGAGATGTCATCGGAACAAAACACTTGATGACCCTCGGAAAAAACAATAGCTCTCTCTCTCTTATTTTCCACCATGCATCCACTCAAAAATGAAAGTGAAGACAAGCAAGTCCCATCAGGTTTCATTTTCAGAATTCACAAGCATATTACTTTGATCCAATAGCTGAAAATTTCTGGGGTTCAGAAACAGACCATAGGAGAAACACCTTGATACGTCTGTCCACCAACTTCGCCTCAAAATCACTTTATGTATAACTTTGCCATAATTTACGGTTGATCGATATTTTTCCGTTCCTGTTTCAGGGCAGCCACTAACTTGATTTCAATATCATATCACTCTGGTATGCACATCAGACGCCTAGAATAGAGAGCGTCTGAAGTAAATTGGAATGAACTGGAGCCCAGTGAAAAGACACCGTTCGCTATCCCTGTACCAGCGAAAAAGATCCAACAACGAGTTCGAAGCGTTCATTGCCTCATCTCATATCACAGCCAATAAGTAGTTAAGAAAAATGATGCTTCGTTTCGACCAGAGCGGGCTCACGCTGATCGGCAGCATCTTTGAGTTGTTAAAGATGTAGTTACCGATATTGGTTGAAATCATTATTGCTATAAATGGGGCTTCCTAATTGCTATCCTAAAAGGCTTCATAACTTGATAAGATATCAAAGTACCAACGTTCACTTCTCTACAGTTACGAGTGTTTTTCTCCTTTGTTTCTTATCAACGAGAGCGAATCATCGATTAAAGGTCGAGAGTATTGAAAGCCAGCAAATAAGATCCAGGAAATGTCCTTAACCCCGAGTTCACCCGATAAACTTTAAACGACACTCTGATGTTTACCGTATTACCTTTCATACGGGACCTCTGCTAGATAGTTCTCCCCACCCTCACACGATACTTTCTACATGTGGCACACATTCAAGAAGACTACCATCTTATAAACCTAAAGGCTGGGCTTGAACGTAGTTCGTTTTCCGTTGAGATCCTTTGAGATGAAAAGAGGGCAGTCCTAATGAAGTAGCTCGGTTTGTGATCTCACTGAATGCTTGTGATGGTTTGCCGTGAAATCCTGATGAGATTAACCTTGCCGCGTATTGCAGGCTTATTTTCGATTATAGTGTAGATTGGACAAGCCAACAGTTCAACCGTCAAACAAAGAGTTATATGTCTTGGGGAAAGCCTCTTGATTTGTCCCGTAACAGCACGAAATCAATTTTTACATCAATTTTGAGTGTTATAAAGATGGGTACGGTTCTTCCTGAAGACCCGAAATCCCCAAACATTCTCACTTAGTAGTGCGAGAAGCATCACGCTGTCACCCGCTTTTTATGATTTTCTGAAAAATTATTACAATCATTGTAAAATTGATAGTTACTATTACAGTGTGCATGACTGAATTCGCTCAGGTTAGTCGGTACATAGCTCAACTAAATCTAATTCAGGTCTTGGGTACTCAGCAAACGTTTCGCGGAAACAAGTCGTTCTGTTTGTAAACCGGAATACACAGCTAGTATTATCGACCGCCACGCGCTCTAATGACAAAAATCGATACCCAAAGAACCAGACATTGTGTGAACTTGAGTAATTAGTTCGATTTTCTATCGTAAGCGCAAACTGAGGCCTTTTCAGATGCAAAGCCACAACTGCCAACGAATTCGCTTCAGCATGCTGATACGTTTTTTAATAACGGATCGATCCGGTGCCTCTGGTTTTGAGCACATGACTGCGTATAGCGATCTGCATAATCAAGCTACACAAGGACACGTGACAGACAGTGGATTAAGTTTTCAGCGAGTATTCTGTGTCGATGGAATGATATTACAACAGAGTTGATGGAAAACCTCCTTAAGTCATTAGCTAGGCGCATTCCCCAAATCTCCATCTGTTCAACTCCGTAATTCAACATCACATATGCGTGCAGTTAAGTAATCGTCCTCAAACCGAAATGGATTTGACGTGAAATTTACGTAGTCTCGTGTTTATGGTACTTTTTTGAGGATTATCATAAACAAGAATTGTCTCTTAGTAGTAAGTCTATTGGTTTTCCAGACGTAGGGAGTGGATGCAAATATAAAAGACTGTCTCTGAAATGTTATAGTGACGATGTCGAAACACAATTTTGACAAAACACTATCCGAAGCTTTCCCTGTTGTATAATAAGATCTATTTCATTGTTCTGAACAAGAATAAGCACAGATACTCAACTAAAATTGTACTGTTATCTTAGCATAGTTCATCACAAAAACACCACTGGAAGGGATGATATTAAATTATTTTGGTGATATTAAAAAGCATCTGAAGTATATATGGCGCCTGATATTCACAGAGAAAGCAGGGTCATTTTCCAGATAGCACACCTACACTAAATATTGCTTACGAGTAAAAAATATTGGTCAGTATTCATAATCTTCATCATTTGCACCTGCTAAGGACATAGAATGACTGCAGACTATTCGGAAGGGGTAATAGAAAGCTCTTACTACTATACAACTTGACTATACCAAATCAGGCAATTACGTTTCGGTCAATAGTCAATTAAAGTGTGCCTAGATAGATAGCAAATGCTTTGTTATATAATTCTGTTATCGAATTCACTTACTGGACGACTCTTGATTACCCATTTGCTGCTACGTCCTTTCGATGGCCATAGAAAGTTGGTTTTGAAGCCCTGTTATTTCGCCAACTGTCTCGTGTGCTCTCATCTGCATGAATGAGACATGTGAGATAATGGCACACGTGGCGCCGCACCCGAGTGCGCAGGCATCACCTGTGTGCTTTCACAAAGGAAACGTATTCTGACGAATGCGGTGTAGGCTGCCTTCCGAGTGAAAAACGCTAAAGTAATTCGCTCCGGGAGCTTGAAAGCAAACCAACAATAAAATTCGCAATCGTATGGTGTGGTCCAGACCCTGAGTAAATAGGACGTGATAGCTTTTAAGGAAACGCTTTCGCACTCGGTCTCTGATTTGTCCACAGAACACCCACTAAAATCTCGTTTACCTGCCACAGATACCCGTTGTTTGATTTCCGTGGCATCAAAGAAACGAATACATGTGCACATAGCCGGATAGACTAAAGTCTTGGCTAAATTACAACTTCAATTACCTCGCGAAGCTGTCTTTCATTGGGAGTTGGACCGCCATGCTACAACTCGGTTTAGAGTTAGAGGCTAGAGCTTAACACAGCGCCGTTGAATTGAAGTATTCAGGAAGAATGTAGTATTTTTGGATAAAAAGGCATAATGTTCAACACAATTCGACACTGAAACGAGTTTGGAGATATACAAAAGATAGTTTATGTTTCGAGTGGGGTAAGCTGATCGGATTTTATTCAGTTGTATTAGTACTGTGTCCCTTAAATTAGTTCAACCGTTCCTATGGGTGTCAGTAGACTACTTTTGGTTATATTCCAGATAAGCCCCGACAAAGACTAACCTCCACCACCAAAAGAGATTAGAAAAAAGAGGGTATGAAATTTGTACTTTTAGCTTTCATTGAAGAGGGTGAAATTGGGACGTCATTAATAACCTGCATGAAAAGGTCCGTTTTTCGGTACCTTTGCCTCCAAACGAACTCACACAAGTAGCTGTCCACTGAAGATCGGTGTGTCTCTTTGGCGTTTACTCTGCCTCTTGTAGACCGTTGGATTCTGCAAAAGCCGCCGGGCGCAAACTTTTCGAAGAAAGTTCTTCCAGTCAACAGAGTCATGTGGCTAATAGATAATTCCTCCGAGCGGAATTTGATTTTTGCCAAATTTTTGAACCAGCAATCACTAAATAGAATTACTTCCCTAAACTTCATCCTACATCGCTCCAGCCAAGTTCTCTTTCAAAGACCGATTTCTTGCCGACACTGTCGAGCATTACACCTCCACCCGTCAGATACAGTTGAAAGTGTCATTTGGTGGCCATTGTTGCATAAACGTTGGTGATGGGTGACTCCGTGGCTTTGGAAAAAAAAACGTATTTCCATCTCCTTGTCATGAACGAAAGTTGAAAGCGCCAGAAAGGTCACTTGAGGTTTTACGTCCGAACGGAGAACACTTTTGCACGAAATGTACCCAAATGCTGATAAGGAATTGTTTTCATTAAAAATAGGTCAAGGTTGTGTGTGTACATTAGATTGGAGCTGGCAAAAAGTGGCTCAGCTTATGTGGAAAAGATCCCTTCTTTTCACACAAAATTTGGATGCAACCGACTATTTAAGACTGGGAGTTACTCATTTTGTCCAATTTTGTCAGTAACTAGGTTCCAAGTTAACAACCTGAACTAGAACCCGATTTCATATCCCCAGAAAATAAATGCAAGACCAATGCAATATAAAGACCGTCACTCGACACAAATTCCCTGCTATGGAGCTTCCTTAGACACTCACCCTGCAAAATCTGTGACCGCCCATAAGACACCTTAAACAAGCTGAACGCAAGTTCACGACTGAACGTGAATTCAAGCTGGGAGAAGGACAACTTAGCCTGAAATTAACAGCAACCAGTCAAACTAGTTTCACTCCTGACTGGGACAGGCACACACCTCCAGTTTTACACAGCGATGTGGAACGACTCGTTCAGATACTCATGGCACTCGAAAAAAAAACCGGCCAAATCCACAACAGGACATCTCCAGTTGTTCGCAATGCGGCCAAAACCGAGCGATCAGTTGCAAATCTGCTGACGCGTAACTCACACTGTTTTGTCCCAAATTAGGGAAATCGTGAGGAAACTGTTGAGGTTCCCGATACGGAACTTTGAATGATGCGTGAGTTCGACAGTCCCGAATATCAAAAGCAAGGATTGAGTTAGTAATTCTACGGTACTCTTTACACAAGGGTATGCAAATGTGTACAGCGAACCTCAATTTTTCACGTTCGCAGCATCAACAAGTTCACAGGTCTGTCACCGACTACAATGTCAACGTCCGCAGACGGCGAGCGGAATGATGGCTCAGTGGCGTGGGTTGTGGTCGTCCCTTCCGACGGCAGTCTCGTGATTCTCATTAGACGTGCGGTCACAAGGAACTCATGAGAAAACAAGTCAAGGAGTCTCAGCAAACGGAACATGAACGCGCATGGGTAAATAGGTCAGCAGCGCACATTCACACACAGACAATGTCAATACACAAATGTCGGACAGGGCGGCCTCTGCGGCAAGGTGAGTGGTGTGTGCGGATAAGCAAAACAGCTGGAGACCAAAAGTACACGGGCGAAGTAAGCAAATGAATGCGGGAATCATCATAAGGTCAAGGTAGATTCAACAAATATTATGAAGTCACGATCCACTAAGTTTTACTTGACAAACGCTCTAGTTCACCTAATTTGAGTGAACTCGGGCTGCTGCACCTTACTTTTGGTTCTAGGACTGAACTGGAACGACAAGAGGTACCAGTCTCTTCCTTTCTAGAAATTCAATCAAAAGTGGGATTCAAAGTATCCATTCTGATTCATGGTGTTCCAGATGTAAGCGATAATTACCTCCCAGTATGCTCCATCATGAGTGTGCTGTATAGGAATTCGTTCAAAGCTTCACCGAGGATAAATAATATACAGACAGTCAAAGTAGCAAGGCTTCTGAGATCTCCTAAAGGGTACAGAAATGGACCAAGAAAGTACGACAGGCAAAGTGCAAACAGAGAAAATATGTTCCACTATAAGGAGAGCTGTTAACTCAAGCAATAATTCAGAGGTCTTACGTCCACTACAACATACTACTACCTACAGTTTGAGCCTGATGCACGAGGATAAACTGTAGTGATCGGCTTCCTCCTTTTCAACGAAGATAACATTCAGTCCGATAGACGAATTTCGCCCACTCAGCGATGAAAACAACGGAAAAGACTTTTGCTGAAACAGTTGATTCTTGAATGGATGGCTGTTGATCTGTTCGGCCAGCTTGGCAATTTGCTTGCAAGCGTTTCGTTGATTAGTCCGAGATTGACTAGGTCCAGTAGCTCCCCACCAGCCCAAATTCGTCTGCTCTCAATTTTGTAAAAATCCTCTCCTCTTATTTTGTTTGCTTCGATTACTAAAGACCATCTGATAAGCTACCTGCACGAACCCATTAGCCATATATTTCTAGCCAGACAATAACCAGGAGCTACAGCTGCCCAACATGTGTGTTTTATGAACTGTCAGACCAACTAGGAGCAGTGGAGTAATGAACTGTGAAGCACTATCTGATGTCTCTTTTCAACTATACTATGTTCTGTACTGCAGTCCATAGCTCAGAAGAAGTTACTCTTGTATGATAGATGTGATCTACCGACCGTCAGATTCTACGCCGGAAGCTTATCAGGTTCTTATCAAGGACCTGATGCTTCCAGGACTAGGATGGAGTGGAACACACCCTTAGGTGGGCTTTTCATAAGTTAATCGAGAAATCGCGGTCAATCTGTACTGTTCTACAGGGTCTGGTTTTTGAAGCCTGTCTCTTTCTTCCATCCAAAACCCACCTTTCGAAGTTGGTACTTCCTCCTTCCTTTCCGTTTTCGAAGCTAAGCTAACACTGAAAATGTCTTATAGTGGACTAGCATAAAAGATCTTCTTCCAGGCTCCAAAATGTGAAGCTCCTTGTCCCCCGTCTTGACTCTCAGTTTCCAAGTAAAAACGACCTTACAATGCTACGATGTGGGTTATCCTCCCACGGATGGAAAACAGCCACCAAAACCATCAGACAAGTTGGTCTCTTCAGAAGAGTGCTGCAAGTGTTTGACTCGTCCACAATATTTTTCAGGATTTAGACAACACGCTTTTGGCTTCCTCAAAAATATATATCAGAGATTGCCGCTTGAACCATTCCACCAGCACTCGCGTTTGGATTGTCGAAAATTCTGTTTAGCTTTCGAGTCAATCGCTACACGACCTGGGGTGGCGGAAACTTTTTAACGCCGTTTAGACTCCCACTCTTATTACCATGACGGTGAGTTTCACTCCCATTCGGCTAACTGTACCAAACCACATCTCCGCGTCTCTTCCATTCTGAATTCACAATACACACATGACGGCGTGTGACGGGATGTCACAGATGTGGTCTGTATGCATTCTGTTCAAATGCCTCAAGATTTTGACAGCGATTCCAGCATGCCATAGGATCCTACCCGTAATCTTTACATCCTGCGAGTTATATAAAGCCTTCACTTCTCGCTTCCAACGGAACGAAACGTTTAAACCAAGTCCTATTCCCATTCGGCTAACTATAACAAACCACATCTCCGCGTCTCTTTCATTCTGAATTCACAAAACACATATGACGGCGTGTGACGGGATGTCACACATGTGGTCTGTATGCATTTTGTTCAAATGTCTCAACAGTTCAACGGCGATTCTAGCATGCCATAAGATCCTACCCATAAGCTTTACATCTTGCGCGTTATATAAAGCCTTCACACCTCGCTTCCAACGGAACGAAATGTTTAAATCTTCAAGTAAACTAGTCCCAGTCGATAGAGCTGGTGAATAAAGTGGGCGTGACGATGCGACCAGTAACAGTTTTGTGATGATCCTTGAAGGATACAACAAAATTAAAAGATTGATAAAGACAAAAATGACCTCAAAACATTGCCCCCCCCCCCAGATAATTATTAGCAACCATTAGCTTGCGGGAAAGCATCAGCCACTTGAGGCTCATCAGATAAGCGTATGAAGACCGCAAACTCGACTTTTTGACCAATAGGTTCACTTCCACCTTACCGTCAAAACATTTGGTCTGAGGCTTGATACGTATGAAGTCCCCCACGTGGATCAACGACTGATCGGTAGAGCCTTTCGGTCGCATAGCTTAGTCAGTGTGAGTCTAGACCAAGAGTCACACCTAAAAAGAGCTGACCGCCCTATTTTGCCGACCACTGTCGGCCTATAATGACGGCAAACTCGACTTCTTGACCAATAGGTTCACTTCCATCTTACCGTCAAAACATTCGGCCTGAGGCTTGATACGTATGAAGTTCCCCACGTGGATCGACGACTCTTCGGCAAAGCCTTTCGGTCGCATAGCTTAGTCAGTCTGTGTGCAGACCAAGAGTCACACCTAAAAAGAGCTGACCGCCCTATTTTGCCGACCACTGTCTGTCCACCTCAGACTATTGGTTGATTAAATATACAGTGCAACAAATGAAGCACTCGTTGACTTCCCAACGAAATTAAACATTACCGGAGGTGGAGAATTCAAGACAGAAATGCTATCAAAACACAAACACCCTTGGTGATCGATTAGAGCACAGAAAGTGTTTTTACTCATGCCTCTCACAAATCACTGCCTGGTGGACTATACGAATACTTCGTTATCTATAGAACAACCTCGCCAGTAATGAATATTTCAAATTTCCCCAGTCTTCCCTGCAAATGCGAAGAACCGTTTTGTTAGTCTAGAGAACACGAAATCTCCTAAATCCGATTTTACCGAACAAGATTACATATGCACCAAATCTCTGTTTTTACAAAGCATTTGAAAAAAAAACTAAATTAACAACATGACGAATTCATCACTGAAGTCTCAACCTGGGAGAGATACGCTCAAAACGTATACGATCTGACTTTGAGCTTCTTTGTTGTTCACCGGGTTTATTCTTTTTATCACGTTGAAACCATTTCTTGTTGTTCGAGCGCTTTGAAACGTCACCAGAACGTTTTCTTTGACCGCCGGTCATATAGCGAACTGGGACTCGATTTTCTTTGGAATCCTTTCCTCCGGGTAGCATGCCATTCGTTCCAAGAAGATAGGAAAATATTGTTCGTGGACTGTTGGATTTGCTTCTCTTTTGTACCGGTGGTAACGGATATATCGGAGGGAAGAAGGGTGGGAATAATGTCCCACCAAACATTCTATAGTCTCTTGACCACAGTGGGTTTCCAGGAAAGAATCCTGGAGGTAGAGTATATGGAAAGCCCGGTAGAAAACCAAGCGGTGAACGGATGAACGGATATTGGTTCAGTAGGGGAGGAAATCCAGGCGTTGGTGGGAATATGGGAGATTGATATTGCTCTGGGATGGGATCAAGCTTGTCGAACAGTCGTAAAATTTCCTCCACTGTGCTGTCATCATCCGTACTTGTAGCTTTGGTTTTTGGCAAGGAAAACACGGACGTACCATCAACACCACGAAGCACTTTGTATTCTTGAGGCTGTGAACTAGCAAATTCTGGCCGACCAGGTTGAACTGCATTCGGACTATTGAAAGGAAAGGGAGAAGGCCCATTAGGAGCCCCTACTTCCATCCATGCTCCATCCAGGAAGGCAGGATGTTGAGGACCACCAAAGGGTTGATTGAAATTCCAAACTGGTGGACGAACCAGTTGCGCTGCACACACAGAAGTCAGAAATATCGCACAGGATAGTTGAAAATTCATGGTTGCCACTACTTCAGAGGAAACACAGGACTAACTGAACAGATCAATTGAAGTTTGTATAACGTGATCATTGTTCGGTGATTTCTGCTTACCGTACTAGCAGGCTGGTTTGGTTGTGGATGGATCCATTATCACGCCGATCAATGTCGCAGACCCTCAGTGAATACTACTCAAGGCAAAACCACTTCTGCCTGACTGAAAGCAATGTCAGTGAGGATTTTATATATCCCTCAGAGTCAAGTAGATATTTTGAGTGACTGTTTCGACAAACAATTTCAGAATTGACGACCAGAGACAAAACTTGTGTGCAATGTATTCTGCTAACGTCTGCCGGTGGAAAAGCAACGTATTACAAAGTATCTCCTAACAAATATAATGATAGTTAATTGGTTTCGGCAACGAAGGAAGAAACTATTCACTAATTCAAAAAGTTGATGTGTTCCACTGAACTCGTGACACGAGCTATTTATTCAGTTACTTAACGAAAAATTCCGAAACTGTGAAAAATCATATGCCCAATAGCATTTCACAGCCATTCGCGGTCCTATTGGCCCTCAAAAAATGCCATTCTACACAGGAAACTATCTTTCATTTGCCTTGGTTCGGTTCTTTTCAACAATGAAATATTTCACTATTGGAGAAATCTTCGGTTAATCACGTGAAACTGTTCCTCCAGAGAAAGCGAGAATAGTACAAAAATATAAGCTTATGATGCTTCTGAGGAGGTAGTTCAAGAGGACGGCATGGATTCCAAGACTGAACTTGTGTTTGTACCCGTATCGCTATCGTCTCGCACCCCTTGTCCCAAGATGGCAATTTTGTTTAGTCCACAAAATTGATCCCAATTACTATTTTGTTGATGCATACAAGTGGTTCACATCCACGACAATACCGCCTGTCACAAGCGGCACACATACCGCTTCGTCTTCGAAGCCTTCCGCATAGCATACTGGTGGCTCCAGCGTGAACTTACTCGTCTCTCCGAGCGTGGTAACTGTCAACTGATAAGGTTAGTGGTGGTACCATTTATCGTTGCAAGTCATACGTCCGAGGTGTTACGCGCATAAAATGGCTTGTGAGTCTTGTTGAGCTCGAATCTCGTATCCAATGCTTCTCCAATTTGTTATTGACTGAACGGCAGAACAGGATGAGGACTAATCGAACGAGAATGGTGCAAATCCAAATTTAGCAGAAATTGTAAATACGCACAGGTGAGACGTGTGCCCTTGTTGGTTCAGACCAGAATTAGAAGCAACGAAATTTTCACTACGCCAGTCCAATATCAACGGCTGTTTGCTGTTACTTTCGTTCTATCGAAGATATGCTCTAGGTCTTCGGAGAGGGTCAGCCTGACAATAAGACTTTTAGGGCGAACTGATTGGTAGATCTAAGTTGTGCTAAGGGATACTCAAGGTCTGTTATATGACCTGAGAAGTCACTTGTGGCATTAGGAAGTGGCTCAGATGAGATGCTTTATCTGGGGGAATCATAGTCTCACGCGGCCTCGGCGTAGCCAAGAACATTCACCAATTATCTCGGTGGATTTAATAACCTTCTATTCATTAAGAATGAATTTAGCTGATGTTCCTAAGAAAATTAGAAACTCAGAGACTCAAATCTGCTCAGATTTAGGTGGACGTAATCAGCAGTCCAAAAGTGGCTGCTAACAAACAGGTGGCCTAGTCCCCCTCCAGTGACCTGAAAAGTTGAAAAAAAAGTTTAATGGACGCGTCTGATAGAGCTTGTCGCAGTCTGAGAACAGTTTTCTTTGTTCAGAAACTCCTAAACTGGCCTCCAGGCATGGTGCTTAGGTTAAAATATAGTAGCCTTTTTCCGCCTGAGGCTGGGTGCTTGCGTCTTTATGACTTTTTAAAAGGCCTAGTTTTTTATGCATGAACTCCAAGTTCTGTTGCAATCATTTGCATAGTTTGACTAAAGCCTTATGATAGAAAGAAATGAGAAACGGGAGAGGGTGACCTAGAGCGAGCCCACACCAAATGTCCGAGGCCTCTAAACCTCCACTCCTCAGTCTAACAATCTGGATATAATCTGACAGCATGAACGCCACTGATATCCGTTAGCCGCCATATCCTTCAGTGTCTCCAGTCAAGCACAGGGCAGGGTTATGTGGACCCCATCTTGGAAGGTAAACAACACCAACGGTACCCAAATCTTCTCGTAACATCCTTCATTGCCTTCTTGAGACAAGACACCCAAACTATTCGACTCGTGTTCATTTAACCCACCGCCATGTTGTAATAAGGTTGGTCAATTCAGAATATCCCTATGAAAACGTTAATTGCTGAATTACGATTGTTTTTAATTACAACACTTTCGCCTCATTAACCCCTGGAATACTGGTCTTGATGCGAAGAAGAACAGTGCAATCAGATGATATTGTCTTGGTCTCTTTTTTTCACATTCGAAAACCTCGTTTTGTGTTCAGCCAACTGTATTCGAGGGCGGCTTTTAATCGGTAGTTTGAGGAATTGAACAAAGACATGCGCAGAATATATTTGAACGGTTCACCAATTATCAAGATCTATTCAGTTTGCCTGAATCTCCTGCTGCATTCGAGGGCTACGCTAAATATGATCATAAAGACTACACTATGGTGTATTTTCATTCCAACAGTCCAAGTACCGATTATGATTTCAAGTTTTCTTTCCAAACAAAGTGGAATAATTACCGGTATTTTCCTGTTAATTTATAAAATTAAATAATGATAGTCGGTTTCTATGGGATATGGAAGCTTGGGGTGACTGTTTATCCAGTATTATCAATTGGCGCATTTTATCATGCGGGAAGAACTATTCGCAACCCCACTTTGAATTTATGGATAAGTCCGAAATACTTATCGGTCATGGGGTTCTACAGTCTCCGTTGATGCAAGCCTTGCGCGAATCACTAGTATTTACGATGTGAGCTGATAAATACAGAAACCCTTTACGGACTTCAGTTCTCGACCTCATTTGAGATTAACTGGTTGCCTACTGACCAACGCCTTCACGGTGGACTCAGTTCATCGCTGAGCCGGCCGGGATTAAATAGTCCGGCAATATATCAGACCTCATATATCTCCTGGTTTTCTTCACAACTGTACCCAGAAATGAGGCCACAGGACTTGATTTGGCTTGATATATTACTTGGTTCAGTAAGCGAGCTTGAGGCATGACCTCTATTATCGTTTGCGGACATTGTAATCAGCATCGCAGTTGTGCCACCTGCTGCGCAGACCAAAGTACATGAGATTTACACGCAGCCCCAACATTTTCGAAGGTAATCTGTCACAACGCATGCAATCAGAGAATTAGTGTCAAGAATTGGTAACGCGTTGACACATGTGCTTCGGCGGGATGTGTGAGCACCCGTGCGATGATATATCGCATTCAATAAACGACAATGCTGTCGTTGGTGTTCATCCATCATTTGTTTGGAATCCAATAAGGATAGAAATGTGGTAGAATTCATTGTCACTCATACGAAAGGAGTTTTCTGAATGTGTCGCGTGATGCTGTGTTACAATGGATTGCAGAACGGAGAGAAGTTTGCGTGCGATTATGAGGAATAGGACGAATAGATGCGGTAGGGTGAACGCCCAAGGTCTCGTGATCAGGAATTCTCTGCCTACTTATTTGCGAGCCAGTACACAAGAGGGGAATCATTAAGGTGTGACCCAGCTGGTCAAAACTGTACAGCAAGACATCTTTAGCACTGATGGAGACCGCATACCACTGAGGAGCTTCCTCTACTTTGCGCTCAAAACGTCGCCTAAGAAAAGAAAAATATCTGACAATTCTCGCGTTCGGGTTAATCTATTCCGGTAGGTCAATGGAAAATTTCAAGTTGTCAAGATGTAGAGCTTGCAGAACCCATCCTAACCGTCGAAACATTTACCTTTTGGACCGTTGCTTATTCCGGTGTGGACTCACTGGAGGCAGCATTGGGCAGTCGAGGAAAAACCATATTAACTTAATTCGTCATCATTCACAACACAGATAATAAACTAAAGGAGCTCGAGATGTCTCACTGGTTAGTCAGGTACGTCTTTGGAGCCCATTCTTTGCACTCCGACTGAGCGATGTTGCAGTATCCCAATTCTTGTGTTTCCTTCGGGTGACATGGCAACTAAGAACTGAATATTGATTAAAGCTGAATGGTTACTATTATTTTATTAGTAAACAATAGCTGGTAATGTTGATAGTGCCTCCGGTCCATAAATGGATCTGACGTTCGACAGCATTATACTCCATCATGTGGACGTGAGTTGGCGGCCTGTCCCCGGTGAACTGGGACAACCACCTTTTTAATGCAACCTCCTGAAGGGAGGACGTTAAAAGCGCCTGTACTATTGTCGCGAAAATCTGCTTTGAAAAATCCCATCGAACAGCACGTTAGGTGATTTAAGCAGAAACCACAATCTCTTGGATTCATTATGTCTTCCACCTTTCCTTTGGGGCTCGAAGTCAATCACAAACGAATACCCACCACAAACACCCTGGTCGCAAACGCTAGAGACGAAAATAGAACAGCTTCCCAATAGACGATAGCGTCCAGGCGGAAAAGAATCTACAATTTGGAAAGGATTTTAGACAACATTTCTTCATTACATCCAAGGCTAAACGATTTGTCTGAGCTTTTGTACCAGGAAAAATGCTACTGCACTTGAGTTGCAATAATTCTGGAAAAACCTACACAATAAGATCGGAAACGAAATGGTCCAGCTAGATAAAGACGGTGTAATCCATTTGCAAGACAAGACATCCGTTGTCATCCTCAGCAGTAGAGAACAAGCAACGCCTCCTGAAGTATTCTAAGGTGTCTCTAAGTGCAAACGTGTGTATTTCATTCAATGATTGTAGCCTTTTTCAAACTCTCACCACTGTGTCGGGTCAGTTTCTGTGGGTACGTGTCCGTAAATTAACCAGGTTGGGCCATTTCATTTTGATCTTCCGTGTTCTTTTTGCATAACATTAACAAGTTAAAGTTGTCATTTCCCA